TCCGAAATACAATACGCCTCTGTGAAATACCCTAAAGGCATATATGTATTGAGAGACTGATGTTGTTAAACAGTAACACAGAACATGGTTTCACTTCTGTAACTGATGAATCAAGCAGTTGCAGAGACTACTTACGAACTTGAGGAGGAAGGTGTTCTCTCGCAGAGCTCCAATGCATCCTGCAAATCCCAAAATGAACATGACTCCTCCTACCACAAGGAAGAGCCAAACTGGATCAAAGCCTCCCAGGTCAGTAATAGAGGAGATATTGGACAGCACTCCCTGGGAAAGAAGCAATGCCAAGGAATAACAGATGTGTCTGGCTTTCTATTGTGCAAAAGTTCTCGTTTTGTTTTGCCTTTAAATTACAGAAAAATAACAGCAAATGAGTGGTCTACAGCACTACACCAGAGCACAACTATTAGGATCTTGGATTCAAAAACAGATGAGAAAATGGATGTTTCTTTTCAGCGCACAGTATGTATTCAAACAAACAGCATGGAGCATGAACAGAGTGCATTTGGAGAAGTATCCTTTCCAAGGAAGTCACAGGAGATTTCACACCTCATGCAACTATGCACCATTAGCTTGCCTGGAAGACAGAACAGCCAGTGGGGTGGGATGATGATCAATCTATTTTTGTTCCTTGTGCTGGATAGCATTAACATTTTAGGGTATCATGTAAATTTTTATACAAGTAAACATAGTTACAAGTATTATGATCTAACAAGGAACACTTTTCACAGAACAATCATTCCACCCCTGACCACACAGTCCTTGTACTCAAAGGAAATCTATACAATAGTTTTGAGATGATGGGCCTGGAAACAAAAATGCATAACTACTGGACACTAAAAACAATGAATTGAAAACACAAACAATGATTTTATGGCTCATTACAATAAACTAACTAACCTCTGTATTTCACAGTTAAGAATGACCCTCTTCCGTTTTCTACTGTCCTATTTCCTTGTATCGGGTGCTCAACCTTTTGCCTCCACAAGCCAGATGAGTGGCTTGGGGCTGGTCTGCGGGCCAGATTGGGCGCTGGGCACCAGGACTGAGTCCTGCACAGCCTCAGCTGGCCCCTGCCTGTCAGAATTGAGCCCCAGGGCTGTGTCAGCTCTACATAGCCCTGAATATCAGAATCAGGGCCCAGGGACCCCACATCCTCTTCACGCAGCCCTATGTCCCAGGATCACAGCTTCATGCCACTTCCACCTGGCCCTCTGGTCTTGTACCACCTCCACCTGGCCCCACATGCCAGGAACAGGCCCCAGTGCCCTGCACTGCCCCTACCCAGTCTCTCACGCTGGGATCAAGCTCTGCGGCCCTGTACCACCTCTGCCCAGTCCCACACACTGATCAGGCCCCAGATCACCCTGCATATCCAATCTCTACAGACTCCTGATGGAGGTTGAGCACCCCTGCCTTACATAATTCGGCTCATTTATTTCAGCAGCTTTTTACTTGATTTGTAGCTACTTCTGATTATTTCTCTTTGCTCAGCAGGTTTACTGGCATTTGCCCCCTTCTTAAAATTGTTACTTTCATTATATATTTCATCTATATAATGGAGTCAAGAGCTATTGTTTTGCTTGGTATCTAAGCTTTGACTGTATCAGCTTCTTGCCCAGAGCTGAGAAAGGGCAGTAATGTCTCTACAGTTGATTCAGTAAAAGATATTACCAAATACTTTGCTTCTTGCATGATCTGAGAAAGTAGAAAAAACGGCAAGTGCAGGCTGATTTGTTTTTCGAGTTTACTTTTTAATGCTGAACCTGAATGCTTTTGGGGAAGCATAGGAACATCATAAGCAATTTCCTCAGTTGAAGAAAACAGTTATTATGAGGCCTTCCTATTGAAGATGTTAGGATGCATCTTATAGAGCCAACATAAAAAAAATGGGCTAGAAGAGGCCTCAGAAGGCTATCAGTTCAAATCCCTGCTCAAGGAAAGACCATTCACTTCTAAAGTGCTATCTAGGAGATCTTGCTCATTTACCTCACTTATCTGTAATGATAAAACCTCTGTCAAGTAAACAGAGCAAAGTTAGTGACTCAGCAATAAACTTTGCATTTAACCTGAAATCTCCTAAAGGCCAAGTTTAAAGAGTTAAAATCATGGGTAACATGGGTAATAACACTAGCTTGCGACTAGACTTGTAATATGGATAACTGAAACCTTTTGAATTCTCATTATAACAGCCAGCATAAACCAGGCTATAACACAGTCTCCAACTGGGAGCAGAAGTCAGGGGGGCTGCAATAATGCCAGCATCTTGAGGAGAAACAATTTCATTCTTCTAATGCTTTGGACTATACTCTGGCTGATCTCAAGAAGCGGTTCATGGGAAAGGGAAAGAGCTTTGCCTTACATCTGTGAGGCTGCAGACAAGGAACTAGGATTCTGGTCTCTGACCCAGTTCCAAACAAGAGCATTATGGTCTCAATCCATTTCTCATTTCACACCAACTGGAGGCCCAGGCAAATGCTGCAAAGTGCATACAGCATATGTAAACTTACATGACACTGTACCAGGTACCACTCTTGCCTGTGCTCTACTGCAGAATTTATATCTTACTCTGTCCCCTGATAAAATGCTTCTGGCCGTTCTGAGTTCTGTCCCTCCCCCATGCGTTATTGTAGTTGATGAGGCGACCATTCTAGACCTCAATTTTCTATAGCTTTTTCTTTTAATATAGTACATTTTCTCTGGACACATCAATTAAACTACTTTAAAAGCTATTTATTTTTCCTGGTCTCATCCCTTCCCTTCTCTCACCTCATTTCTCTTTCTTGGCTATTGCCTCCTTGCGGAGGTCTTCATTCTACCCCTGTTGAGCCTCGGATTGCTGCCAAGAATCATGGTCCTTGCCTACTTGTGCCTACTCAGTGCACAACTAAAATTAGGCAAGACAGATGGCTGAGAGCAGCCATAAGCACCCTGGCCTGGAAGAACCTGAGCATGGCGTGTACTAAAGCAGAGGTGCCAAACTTGCCCCAGTCATGGGCCAGATGCGGAAGTGACAGTGGAGCGAGCAGTAATGGCACAGTGATTAACCCAGCCATCACTCATCTCCCCCACCATCAAATGTCGCCAGGGGGGCTCCAGTCCCCAGATTTGGGAGGTGGACCCTACCCCTTCTTGCTCTGCTCCCAAATTCCCAGCCTTCTGTGAGCAAGACAATATGGCTCCATGAGCTGGATCCCACCCATGGGCCATATGTTTGAGACCCCTGTACTAAATCATATATGCTTTGCCCTTGACCACTTGGAAATGCCCACAAAATAGCAACAGTTTCAAAAGCCTCCATCATGACCTTATTTCTTATGAAATATCATGGAATAAACGGAAAAACAAAGGAATCTGTTCGAAGTATGGAACCCTCATACCTGTGAGTTTTTATGGACAACTTATATTACACTAGGGCAAGTGATTATTTGTGTATATGGGGCCAAATCTATGCCACTTACTAGGTGCCTAAGTGTGATCTTATTTCACTCTACCCTAGTCCCAGAAAAGCAGTTAATGCATCTCCCTTCTGCTTGCTGCTTTTCACAACTTAGACCTATGGCTAAGATGATGACATGTTAACATTTTTTCAGAGATCTGAGCACAATGAAACTGGATCATATGTAGGTAGCTAACTCGAATGGGCCTATGGCCCATGGTGTCTCTGACACAGGGAATCACAGAATCAGTGAGTCGGGAGGCACCTAGACAGATCATCTAGTCCGACTCCCTGCCACGGGCAGGAAGGAGCACTGGGGGTGGCAGGGGTCATAGGACCCCAGCCAGGTGCCTGTCCAGTCTCCTCTTGAAGATTTCCAGGGAAGGTGAGAGCACCACCTCTCTGGGAAGCCTATTCCAGGCTCTGGCCACTCTTACCGTGAAGTAGTCCTTCCTAATATCTAACCTAAACCTATCCTCCCTCAGCTTGTGACTATTGTTCCTGGAATAACACTATCCTCAACTTAACAAGAAAGACTGATAGCTGAACAAGAGCAAAATTAGTAAGGACACTAGGGGTGCACTGACAGAGATTTTTGGGGCTGATACTGATAGTCGACTTTTAAGGAGGCGTATTGGCTGATACCAATCCAATTTCTGATTCCAGCCTTGCAGCTTGGAGAGCTGCATGCAGCTAGTAAGTCTAGTGTGGTGGAAAGGGAGGAGGGGGGAAGGGGTGTAGGGGACAGATCAAAGCCCCTGCAGTGAGGGAGGAGTGGGGGTGGGGCAAGCGCTGCCCAGCCACTGCTCATCTGGGGCGTGCAGGGAGGTGGGAGGCGGCTCCCACCACTGCATGCTGCGTATCTGGGAGCTGCTGGTCTGGCACCTGCCCGCTCATCCGGCGGCTCCTGCCGCTGCTCCCACTGCTCATCCAGGAGGGCATGGGGGTGGCCATGTGCCCCCAGATCTGCATGGAGCAGGAAGGGGCAGTGCAGGCTCTTCCCAGCCCACCCCCCCCCATGTGGGAACCGCCAGATGAGCTGGTGAGCACCAGACTAGCAGCTCTCAGACGAGCAGCGCACAGCAGTGGGAGCTGCCCTCCCCCTGCCCCCCAGATGAGCCATGGCTGGGCAGCGCTTGCCCCAGCCCCACTCCTCCCTCACCACAGGGGCCTTGATCTTCCCCTTATGCCCCTTCCCTCCTCCCACCCCTTCCACCTCATCCCACTTACTAGCTACATGCAGTTCTCCATGCTGCCAGGCTATGCTCCACATTGCTTACGTGCTGCATTGCAGCTGTGCACATGCACAGGCATTTATTGACCAAATTATCAGCCACATCAGGCCAATTCCTGATACAATCAATTCCCTTTACATTGGTACTGATCCAATATTAGACTGATATATTGGTCCATCTCTAAAAGACAGTTATGGTTTATGAGATGCCCAGCAAAAAAGAATTCTCCAATGCACACAACCAGGAGCCTTGGGAAAGGTCTGGTTGTTAAACAACAAGAACAAAGACATCATGCAACCCAATCCTGAAGTGCAAACTGGAAGCCAATAGCATGAATGTCATCCTCATGACAGATTTCTCTCTCTCTACCAAAAAGCATTCCTGCCTGACAAAGACAGATGAAAATCCCATTTATTCCTATCCTCCTACATTACACTGCATATCCTGCTAATCTGACTGTCATTCAGTAGAAAGACAAAAATAGACTTAAGACATGATATAACATAATACTGCTGACAGTCAGACTTGGCTTCAAACAGATTAGTTGGCATCTGCCCAGTTCCAACTAACTACGAATGGGCTGGTTTATACCA